CATGCCGCCCACCACAGGGAGGGGAGAGACGTCCACGGCAGCAGACAGGCTAGCTCAGCCCTGCCACCCTCAAGAGAGCTGCTGGGGAGGAGGTCTTTCCTACACAGCAAAACTCATGGTGTGTGCTCAGCACCCCTGGGGATAGGGGCGAAGTGGGGCTGGTTGGATGTGGGGAGCCCAGGGAAGGGACTGCACGGGGCAGATTTCCCTTTTGGTGACCATTGCTGAGTCGTAGATCTATTGGAGGAGGGTCTGCATCCCGCACACACCTCTGAGCCCACGACAGAGGCTGGACCTGCTGTGGACTAACGTGGCTGCTTCTGCCTTCTCCTCAGCATTACAACCAGTCTGCAGAGATGAACCACATCTCGGACATCCTGAACGTGGCCTTTACCATCCTCTTCACCCTGGAGATGATCCTTAAGCTCATGGCCTTTAAAGTCAAGGTGAGAGGAGGGCATGGTCCAGAGAGCAGGAGAGAGCCTGAGAGGCCAGACGGGGGTTGGGGCCACATAGAATCATGGAATGATTTGAGTTGGAAGGGACATCAGATACATTTACCCTGTATTTGGTATCTCTTGAGTACAAGCACTCCCAGGCCTGCAACTCCAGAGAACTTCTTGTGAGACCCTTGGCGACTTCCATGCCCAGGACCTGTGGCTTTCTGGAAGGACAACTATTTGTCAGGGCTGCCATTGCTAAGCAGATCCCAGCCAATCCAGCCAGCTGTTCTTCCTGTCTTCGGGGTTATCTGTCCCTGGTGGGGTGACCCCAGGAGCCTCTAGCCACCTCATCCACCCTCCTTGTTTCATACCATTGCAAGACAGGACCAAACAATTGACCAGAGGGTGTGAGGGCTGACCGTCATCGCTTCTTCTGGCTCTTCCTGAGGGGCTAGAGGTCACCGGTGATCCTTCTGGCACACCTTCCTCTGGGCTTCAGCATCTCTCTCCTATTTTTCTTAACCCTTGGATGTTCACTCTTCTCTGACTCTTCCCTGCAGGGCTACTTCGGGGACCCCTGGAACGTCTTTGATTTCCTTATAGTGATTGGCAGCATCATTGACGTCATCCTCAGCGAGATTGATGTAAGTGCCAGGCCGCTCGGGTGCGAGGGTGTCCCTGCAGAGCACTGCTGCCAGTACCCGCCTGGGGCGAGACACGGATGCTGCTGTGGTGTCCAGCTCTGCACTGCATTGGTGTCGTCTCCTCTCTCCCTGCTCTGCTTGGTTCTGAGGAGGGACAAGCCAGGATCAGCCCATGGCGTGAGGGTGTGGAGATCACAGCCATGGACCTTAAACCTCTGTTTGAACATCCCCAGCCAGCCAACATGTCACTGCCCGCTCCCCTCCTGTCCCCTGGATCTGTAGGCACTGGGATCCTACGGAAAGCAGCCTGCTCGGTAGAGCGCTGTGCCAGCCCCTGCCCTGCTCACCCTGCCCGACTGCCCCCTGCACACACCTGGACAGGCAGTGACCCACGCAGCCAGCCTAGATCAGCACAGGTGGAAGAAGAAGGGTTCCCTCAGCTCAGCATACCCGCAGGGCGCTGCCGCCCCGTGCTGGGGAGGATCAGACACATCAGATTTCAGGGTGTTTGCTTTGCCTGTGTCCCTTTATACAGCGATCCATGCATATACCCATGCTGACTGTATATGCGTGCATGTGTAAAAAAAAAATTTCAGAAGCTCTGCACCATATAAACTGCGCGGCTGGGTGGCTGCAGGCAGTGGCTATATGGTAAGTGCTCTGCTGGGAGCATTTTCAGAGCAGTGCTAGTGAGACAGCATGCCACTGCCTTTCCCAGCCCTGGGCCATCCCCCCTGTGTCTGGCACTGAAAATGCCCCTCTCTGCACCAGAGGTCGTGTGTTTCGTGAGCAGATCGGATGGTAACTCTGGAAGCAGCTGTAGGATTGGGTAGATGACAGATTAACCCTCTCTAGTGACTTTGCATGGCGTCTGCTCCCAGGAGCAGGGCTTGTCAACTCCGGAGCACAGCAGGGCTGTGCTGGCAGAGCTGCTGCCACTGCCACCCCTTGCAAGGTGACCTTCAGCTGTTCTCTGTGCCGAGGAGGAGAGGGTGTTCAGGGGGCCCTGGTTGCAGTCACCATTTCTCTGGAGGGTGGTCCAAGTCTCACAGAGCTGGGATGAGCAAAACCATCCCTGTGACAGCAACAGACTCCTCCCTGCACAGCCCTGCACAGCCGTACTGCCATCGTCTAGCCTCTGGGCTTCTCAGCCTTGAGGAGCTCCCAGATTTCATGCCAGTGCTGGCAGCTCTCATCTGTCTCCATGTCCTCCAGGACTCCATCCTTTGCCCCTCAGCTTTCTGCACCTGTCACCTGGTTTCCCATTGCCCATAGGGTGTCATTTCCTAGTGTGCCACATCCTTCCCCATCCTGTTGTCACTCAGAAATGAATTTCAGAGCGTGCTGAAGGCCCTGCCCTGGGCAGAGACTTTCAGTCCCTGTGGAGCAGAGACTGGGTCAGCTGGCACAGATGCCAGTGTCCTGCTGCACTCAGCCGTGGGTCTGTGGGAATTCCCAGGACACAGGTCACAGTCTGGTGCCCTGGCAGTGGTAGGGCTGTGCAAAAGGCAAGGCACAATTTCAAGAACGGTCCTACATGGCCTGAGCTTCCCAGGTCCTCTGCCCCAGGTCTGGGTGCTGCAGTGACCATCCGTGTCCCCTCCTGAGAGCAGAGCCCCTTATGGCTGCCCCACCCTTCTCCATCCTGTGCTTTCTTCTCCGTGCAGCCAAAATCTCTCCTGGCATCACTAAGCTGTTTTTCCAACCATCTGGTAATGTGCAGGGGGATTAGGAGGCGTGGGGTGCAACCTCACCTCCCCTTCCGATACGTCTCCTCCCTGCTGAGAGGTCAGTGCAAGGTGGGTCTGTTACCTCTGGTCCCCAGGAGCTGTTTGCAACCACTGCACCCATCACAGTTCTGCCTGCTTGCCAGCACAGGCAGACCTTGAGGGCTGCAGGGTTTTCAGAAGGGTGGCCTTCACAAAACACGCCTGCGCCGTGGTGTGGGGCTGGCAGGGGATGGCTTGCAGCAGCCAAGCCATT